AAATATTATGCCAAGAGTGTAAAACAACCATGGATAATTAGTTAGGTTAAAATATTTGCATATTTTAATTTAAAATGACAATTTATTTAAAGTGCCAGAATACAGAAAATCATGTAAATAAATAATCATAACTACGGTATAAAACAGAACAGAACGGAGGTCACAGAAGTGACAGTCAAAACAAAGGTCAATGGATCCATGACAAATAGAGGACCATAAGGTGGTCAAACAGAGGCTAGTGGTTATTTAAGTCTCCCAAGGCGTGGGACTCCCGTGGTGATACTTACAAAACATAATTGTTTATAAAGTTATAGTTAAATATATACTAAAATTTAAACAAACATATCCATGGGTTTCCTTTTAAGTAAATAGAGTTTAGAAAGTAACCCACATAACTGAAATATTTATAAACATAACTTTTATTTATATAACTTAATAAATATAACTTGTATAAAATAAGCTATGGTAACTCAAAACATTCGTAAAACATATAATGGTAAAGCAAAGTATAATATAACTCACCTTAAGTATAACCCTTAGCCTTTACTTTACTATCAGAACTTTCTTTCCTTACTCTCAACTTATGTGTTTCTCTCGTTTTCCCACTCTTCCCCCTTTTTTTTTTTCCTTTTTTTTTCTTTCTTTCTCTCTGAATCACAACCCCCTAGTCCCTTTATATACTGCTTACTGAGCCCAGAGATGAAGGACACGTAGCCTCTCTCTTATGGAGGCATCATGAGGCTAGAAGATTTGAGCTCTTAATTGAAGATTCAGTATGAGATTTAAATCTTTATGGATAAGTATTATCTTCTTAATATACATGCTTGGGCCCCTTCTGTTTTTTTTTCCTGCTTGGGCCAAAATCTATAAAACATTGCTCGGCCAAACTTTTTTCTTCTTCTTTTATTCATTTCTTTTTTTGTTTTGGTGTTAAGTGTTTCAATATTCCTAATATAAATTAAATTACATCTTATCATGTAGCATCATAAATTAATTATTTTATTTTATTTTTACTTTACAGATTACTATTGTTATTCCATATTATTATTTATTTACTATCTTTAATTTTAATTTGACCTAACTAGTATTAGAATTTCATATTGCTGTTAATTTGGCCCTAAATAAAAATCTCTAATTAATCCCATATAACCCAGTGCTAAATTAGATTTTGTATTTATTATTAATTATTTAATAATATGTTATCACATACACCCACAATTATATAATTATAAATATTTATGTGGTATTTAATTAAACGTTCAGGGTGTCACATTTCTCCCCTCCTAAATAGGAGTTTGTCCTCAAACTTGACGTACCTTAACTTTCGAAGAGGTGTGGGTAATTGACTCGCATTTGACTTTCTGTTTCCCACGTAGCTTCTTCGGTGTGATGATTTTGCCATAAGACCTTTACCAGCGGTATGGTTTTGTTTCAGAGAACTTGATTACGACGATCGAGAATCTGCACTGGTTGTTCTTCGTAAGAGAGATCTTCTCGAACTTCCAAGTTCTCATAGTCGATGACATGTCCTGGATCTCAGAGATACCGTCGGAGCATTGAAACGTGAAACACGTTGTGGATATTAGATAGCTCAGGAGGTAGTGCAAGGCGATAGGCTACAGGACCAATTCTTTCCAGTATCTCGAATGGCCCGATGTAACGTGGGTTTATGCGCTTTCCGAATCGGATCACTCCTCTTGTTGGTGAGATTTTGAGAAACACATGATCTCCTACTTGAAATTCCAAGTCTCGTCTCCGAGTTTCCGCATAACTTTTCTGGCGGCTCTGAGCAGTGCGAATCCGCTGTTGGATGAGTTAGATTTTCTCACTTGTGACTTGCACGATTTCGGGGCCTAACAATTTCCTGTCCCCGACCTCCGTCCAGCACAGAGGCGATCGACATCTCCTTCCATACAGGGCTTCGTACGGCGCCATTCCAATGCTTGCCTGGTAGCTGTTGTTATAGGCGAATTCCACCAAAGGTAGGTGCTCATCCCAGTTACCTTTGAGGTCTAACACGCATACACGTAACATGTTTTCCAACGTCTAGATTGTTCTTTCAGATTGCCCATCGGTTTGTGGATGATAGGCCGTGCTGAACTTTAGTGTAGTTCCCAAAGCTTCTTGCAATTTATTCCAGAAGTGAGACACGAAACGAGGGTCTCGGTTAGATACGATCGAAACTGGGATACCATGCAACCGTATAATCTCCTTGATATATAAAGTGGCAAACTTATTCAGAGGATACATGATTTTGATTGGTAGAAAATGTGCTGACTTTGTCAATCGGTCTACTATAAACCATATTGCATCATTCTTCGAAAATGACTGTGGTAGTCCAACCACGAAGTCCATAGTAATGTGTTCCCATTTCCATTCAAGAATAGGGAGTGGTTGCAGCAGTCTTGCAGGTCTCTGATGTTCTGCTTTAACACGCTGACAATGCAGACATTTGGAAACATGGCTTGCTATATCTCTTTTCATTCCGGTCCACCAGTAGTATTCCTTCAGATCATGGTACATCTTTGTGTTGCCAGGGTGGACTGCAACTCTCGAGTTATGAGCTTCCTCCAGTATCTTCTTCTTGAGTTCTGGGATGTCGAGTATACAAATTCGATTCCGAAATTTCAGTATCCCATTACTTATAATGAAATCAGGATCAGGCGTGTTTCCTTGTTCCTCATACTTTTTCTTCAAAAGTTTATCTACCCATTGGCGCGCTTTAATTTCTCCAATCAATGTAGGCTCCACGGTTACATTGGCGAGTAATCCATTGATCTTGCGGGAAACGAGAGTACATGCCAGGCTTCTCGTCGACTTTCGGCTCAGTGCGTCTGCCACCGCGTTAGCTTTGCCTGGATGGTGATGGATCTCTATATCGTAGTCTTTCATAAATTCCAACCACCGTCGTTGCCTCATATTCAATTCCTTCTGTGTGAATAGATATTTCAGACTCTTGTGGTCAGTATAAATCTCGCAGGTTATACTGTAGAGGTAATGACGCCAGATTTTGAGAGCAAAGATTACTGCAGCCAATTTCAAATCGTGAGTCGAGTAGTTCCTCTCGTGAGTCTTTAATTGTCGTGACGCATAAGCAATAACTTTTCCGTCTTGCATGAGAACGCAACCTAATCCATTATATGAGGCATCACTATAGATTACAAACCCATCTGCTCCGGTAGGGAGTGCTAGTATAGGGGCTGACACAAGTCGACCTTTTAATTCTTGAAAGCAACGCTCTTGTTTATCAGTCCATTCAAAGGTTGTGTTTTTCTGAGTTAGCTGGCTCAAGGGCGATGCTATCTTTGAGAAATCTTGCACGAAGCGTCAATAATAGCCAGCTAGACCCAAGAAACTCTGGATTTCTGACACATTAGTAGGTCGTGGCCAGTCCACAATTGCTGCAACCTTTTGGGGGTCAACCGAGATGCCGTCTTTATTAATGACGTGACCGAGAAAGTGTACACTAGTGATCCAAAATTCGCATTTCTTCAACTTGGCATAAAGTTTGTGATCACGTAGTGTTTGTAGAACCATTCGCAAGTGCTGCTCATGAGCTTCTGGTGACTTGGAGTATATGAGGATGTCGTCAATGAAGACGATGACGAACTCATCAAGATAGGGTTTGAACACTCTATTCATGAGGTCCATGAAGGCTGCTGGGGCATTTGTGACACCAAAAGGCATGACGAGAAATTCGTAGTGCCCGTAACGGGTTCTGAAGGCAGTCTTTTCAATGCTTTCCATTTTAACTTTTAGTTAATGGTAGCCAGAACGTAAGTCAATTTTGGAAAATACTTGTGCGCCTTGAAGTTGATCAAACAAGTCATCGATTCGCGGCAGAGGATATCGATTCTTGATGGTAACCTTATTCAGCTCCTGGTAATCGATGCATAATCTCATTGTGCCATCTTTTTTCTTCACGAACAGTACTGGAGCTCCCTAGGGTGAGGTACTAGGCCGAATGAAACCTTTGTCCAAGAGTTCCTGGAGTTGAGTCTTCAGCTCTTTCAATTCTGCCATCGATATGCGATAAGGAGTTTTTGATATAGGCTGCGTGCTAGGTTGGGTTTCAATGGTGAATTCGATCTCCCGATCAACTGGAATACCAGGTAGATCTTCAAGAAAAACATCCGGAAATTCTCGAACTACAGGAATTGCATCAACGGTGGGGGCCTCTTTTTGTGTATCAATCACATAACAAATATAACTACCACAACCCTTTCTTAGGAGTCGTTGGGCCACCATGAAGGATATGATACATGAAGGGTTAGAAACTTCAGCCCTATCAAAGACAATTTCGGGTTGGTTTGGTAACTTGAGGGAGACTTTTTTGTCTTTACAATCGATAGAGGCGTGGTTGGCAGCCAGCCAATCCATACCTAAGATTACATCAAAGTTTCTAATGCGGAGGGGAATCAAGTCTACATATAAGGTTTTGCCTTTTAGGAATACAACACAAGATCTGTACACAACAGTACTACAGGCAGACTTACCAAAAGGAAAAGACACAGACAATGTATATCCTAATGGTTCGGGTGTTGATGTCAACTTGGCGGCAAAGTGTGGTGCAACAAAAGAATGAGTTGACCTAGAGTCAATAAGGACATGAGCTAAAAGACCACAGATAGAAAGTGTACCTAACACAACATTTTCGGTAACTTCCGATTTTCCAGGTACCAAAGCGAAAACCCGACCTTGGCGGTTTTGGTCCTTCTTTTCTCCTTCTGGTCCCGCGGCTCTCCTGACTGGGCCAGAGGGGCTGGCTATAGGATTAACCATCTTTGGACAATCCCTTAGCAAGTGGCCAAACTGTCCGCATCTAAACACGCTCTTGTGTCTCGATGGCATTGTCCCTAATGAATCCTCCCACAAGTGGGGCAAGTTGGAATAGTGCCACCTCGGGGGTTGGTAGGATCGTGGTGGCCTGAGCTGGTTGTGCCCATGTTCACCTTTTTATGAGGTGCAACACCGGGTCTTCTGTTATCTCTTTCCCAGAATCACTTCTTGTAGCTTGGTTCTTCGGAATGCGAGGCTTTAATTCCCTTTTCTGCTATGTACGCCCGGTCCACCACTTTTGCATAGGTTGGCAATTTCAAGACTTCAAGCCTGTCTTTAATTCCAACATCCAAACCTGCTTCAAATTTTCTTGTTTTTCGAGTTTCGGTGGGGATGGCGTATGTTACAAACCGAGCGAGTTGTGTGAACTTTCTCTCATATTCGGCCACCGTCATAGTTCCTTGTTTCAGATGTATGAATTCGGATTCCTTCTGTTCCCGCAATGAATCTGGAAAGTATTTTTCGTAGAATACTTCTAAGAATCTTGCCCAAGTCGTAATTTCTTCTTTGGCCAGAGTGAGAAGCCACCATTCCTGTGCATTGTCTTTGAAAGTGAAAGTGGCGAAAGTTACCTTTTGCCTCTCGGTGCAAGGTAGGGCACGAAAAATCTTTTCCATGTCTTTCACCCAAGCGTCTGCTACCATTGGGTCTGGGCTGCCGGTAAATGTGGTGGGTTTCAGATCCTGGAACTGTTTTATGGTAATCGGCCCCTCTTGCCGTCCCGGCGTCCCATTGGTGATGTTAGCTTGAAAGGCTTGTAGAAAACTAGCAACCGCTCTTTCCATTACTCTTTCCATCGATTCCGTACCACTAACTGATGACTCACTTCCATTACCATTAGCCATTCTACAAGTAATAAATGAGGTATTATATTTTCAACGCAGCATATATATAGCACAACATGTAGTACACTTTATATTTATATAAACTGCCAACATTACACATTTTTTATTTATTTATTTTACAATTCATATTACATTAGTTAGAATATGTTGGTGCCCCATCCCTGTGGTAAACAAAAACAAAAGTCAACAAAAAGGGGATTAGAACATATCAAGATCAACATACAAAAGATTTTCCACTAGCCAGATCTAGAGTGGTGGGTCAGATGGGCCGAAAAACCAGGGGAAATAGTGCTGCATAAAAAACTCAAATTCCCACCCCAACTGGATTATACCAAAACACACCCATGCTACCTGGACTGTGAAAATGGGGATAGACCGTATATGACCCACAAATGCTCGGTCGACAATCTAGCCAGGTGTCTCAACATATGACAGATCATTTTCGAAGTCAACATTTTGAATATTAATAATCTCTAGTGGGTTAGGGACTGTGGTGAAAATATAATCTTTGGGGTACACGTTCCCCCTCTTGGCTGCAAACTGTGGGGGTAAAGGGCCTATAATATAATACGGGCGGTCGTGACCCGGGGCGACGCCAATGACGCGAGATGGTCCGAGAAAACGTCTACCTGTATGGGCAAGGCTGTGCCTCCATAACAAGTGTGGGACGTCAGTAGGGTCAACCTGGATATAAATTGGCCGACCCATCAACCGGCCAAGACCTGGGTGCAATTCCCTAACTATTTCCTCAGAATCTCCCCAACCCTCAGGTGAGGCGGGGGTGGGGGCAGGGTGTTCTGCTAAGATTTCATCTAAGTTGATGGCCTGGAGGTCATTCCAAAAAGCATCATCAAGGTAAATCTCTGACATCCTACAACACCAGCATAAACGTGAGGTTTTACACAGGAAAACTACAATTCAAATTACAATTCATATTACACAGGAAAACTAACGTCACATGTAAATATTTATTATTATTTTATTTTATTTTGATTTTACCATATATATCTATATATATATATATTTTTAGCTATTTGGTTTTATTGGCCCTTGCAAAATGAGGTGGATCCCTCTTCAGTCCTTAATACAGATTTGAGGGTATTGTTCGGACTTGTGGGGTCATTATCACGAATTTCATTTTGATAATTTAAATTAGTCATTTGGTTAGACACTTTGGTCGTGTCCGATAGGGGGTTTGGGAGGGTGGATTGGATTACCAATCCGTGTGAATTGCATTGTTTCTTGAAAATTGGTAAACAGCTATAAGCACATAGCAGAGTAAGAAATATTATACTGAGAGCATAATGGTATAAAATTCACCATGGATAATTATTGGTTAAACAAAATTTGATATTGAAATACAAAGTATATAATACACAGATCATTAGACATACAATATAGAAATCATACAAACAAAATAATTATAACCACGATACAGAATGGAACATAATAGATGTATGGACTCAAGGGGTGGCTCGTACGAAACTCTAGAGGTGGCTCCCACAATAGTGTAACACTTAGCTCCGTACAACACTTTGCTTCGCACAAAACAGATGTCAATGGATCTATGACAAACAGTGAGTCACAAAGTGACCAAACAGAGGCCAATGGTTATTTAAGTCCCCCAAGGCGTGAGACTTCCGTGGTGGTACTTACAAAACATAATTGTTTATAAGGTTATAGTTAAATATATACTAAAATTTAAACAAACATATCCATAGGTTTCCTTTTAAGTAAATAGAGTTTTAGAAGGTAACCCACGTAACTGAAATATTTATAAACATAACTTTTATTTATATAACTTAATAAATATAACTTGTATAAAATAAGCTATGGTAACTCAAAACATTCGTAAAACATATAATGGTAAAGCAAGGTATAATATAACTCACCTTAAGTATAACCCTTAGCCTTTACTTTACTATCAGAACTTTCTTTCCTTACTCTCAACTTATGTGTTTCTCTCGTTTTCCCACTCTTCCCCTTTTTTCCCTTTTTTTTCTTCCGTTTTCTTTCTCTCTGAATCACAACCCCCTAGTCCCTTTATATACTGCTTACTGAGCCCAGAGATGAAGGACACGTAGCCTCTCTCTTATGGAGGCATTATGAGGCTAGAAGATTTGAGCTTTTAATTGAAGATTCAGTATGAGATTTAAATCTTTATGGATAAGTATTATCTTCTTAATATACATGCTTGGGCCCCTTTTGTTTTTTTTTCTTGCTTGGGCCAAAATCTATAAAACATTACTGGGCCAAACTTTTTTTTTCTTCTTTTATTCATTTCTTTATTTGTTTTGGTGTTAAGTGTTTCAATATTCCTAATATAAATTAAATTACATCTTATCATGTAGCATCATAAAATTAATTATTTTATTTTATTTTTACTTTACAGATTACTATTGTTATTCCATATTATTATTTATTTACTATCTTTAATTTTAATTTGACCTAACTAGTATTAGAATTTCATATTGCTGTTAATTTGGCCCTAAATAAAAATCCCTAATTAATCCCATATAATCCAGTGCTAAATTAGATTTTGTATTTATTATTAATTATTTAATAGTATGTTATCACATACACCCACAATTATATAACTATAAATATTTATGTGGTATTTAATTAAATGTTCAGGGTGTCACAAATATCTCCTAAACAAAATAGTATCTGTCAAATATTCAATAAATCTGTCCAGCAAAGAGAATAGCATTCTGTTCAACAAAATAACACAAACAACAAAACATCTGTCCAACAGCCCACACACAAAAGAAAATTCAACAAGTAGCAAAGAGAATAATTAATCCCAAGCACAACCCGCAAGGGATAGGTTACCCAAAAATTGAAATTAAAAAAAAAAAAGTATCCATTACAACATAAAAAATCAAATTCATTGTTTCTCCAATACTCATACAAACCACACAACAACTTCTATCATCTTCTTCAACTTGAATTCCTGTTAAATAACAAAAACAAAAAAAAAAACAAATAATTAATACTAATAATAAAATGTAAAAAATGTTAACAATTAAAACAAAAAAGTTGACAACTAACACAAAAGTGGCACATGACTCATCCGAGTCCATCTCATCATCATCATATATAGTTGCATAGCCCATCGATTCCAATGTTGAATTTCCTAAAAAGTAAAGAATATAAATTTAGTATTAAAATTATTCTATGGTAATATAAATAATAAAAGTGAAATAATATGTAGATTGGATGAAATAATACCTTTCATCTCTGCACCCCACAACCAACTTTGTGCACACATTAATGCTTCTAATGTGTTTGGATGAAGTCTACTATGATATGGACTCACCAACGTTCCACTAGTACTAAATGTTGACTCAGAAGCAATAGTGGATACAAGAATAGCTAAAATGTCCCTAGTCGGATACTTTGGTCCATTAGCTTTCCACCAATTCAAAACATCAAAACCTGAAGTTCTTGGCAAAACATCATCCTCTGGATAATGGTCCAACTTTGATCTTACATTCTTCATTTTTTTTACTTCTCTTTCTACTAATAAACAAATCAAATTCTGAAAGGATCTCTGTAACAATTTCTAGATGAGTAGAAGAGTCACCACCAACATCGGTCTCCATACCAACTCGGTGCTGATACTCTTGCAACAAATCATAACAAATATGACGAACCCTAGCAACTTCATCTTCAGCTTTGTCTCCATAAAGTTTTTCAAAATAAAACCCCAATACACTCATCTTATACCTAGGATCAAGTACAACTGCAACTCCAATAACACCATGTATCACTAACCAATATTTATCAAATTTTTCCACCATTTTTTATGCCATTGTTCTAATCACTTCAATTTTACAAGAGAGCCATTGAGACAGTGTCATCCTAATCTCACATAAAGCTGGGAAACAAACATTGGCTGTGGGATACTTTGTACCAGAAAATAACTCTGTGGTAGAAAAAAAAAATCTTAAACCTCCCACTAATCTCTCTAGCAAACTCTCATTCTTGCTCACTTGGCACAGTCTTATATTGGGGCTCTCTAATTTTCAACCTAGAAAAGACATCCTTATACAATAAGGCTACCTGAAGCATTAAGTAGGTTGAATTCCACCTAGTTGCATAATCAAGTCCTAATTTCTTAGTATGTGGAATACACAATTGGTTGACTGTTTCTTCAAATTTTTCTTATTTTTTTGGTGTTGTTGTCCAATAAGCTACACTCTCTCGAATTTTCCCCACACCCACTCGTATGACATCCAATCCATCTTGCACTATCAAATTCAAAATATGCGCACCACAACGCATATGAAACAAAGTACCACCCAACAAAAGCAATGTATTACTTAACTTATCCATCAACATGGTAATCATGGCATCATTTGTGGAGCAATTATCAACAGTAACAGCAGAGATTTTTCTATCAATATTCCAATCCATCATACACTCAAGCAAAGTATCACAAAAAACTTCTTTTGTGTGTGGACATGGAACATAAATAAACCTAAAATATGATATTCATAAACAAGTATTAATAACATGCAAATTGAACTGAATAAGATAGAATTTTTAAATAATTTTCAAATTTACAAAAATATACCTCAAAATGCGACTTTGCAATGTCCATGAATCATCAATAAAGTGTGCGGTGACAGCCATGAATCCTTTCTTTTGATTGCTAGCAGTCCACATATCAGTTGTGATTGCCACCCTACTTTTATTATGCTCCACAAAACTCAATGTCTTCACCCTCTCATAATCATAAATCTTTAAAATATCACTCTTTATCGTATTTCGAGAAGGCACTTTAAACAATGGTTGAAGTGCTGCTGAATATCGTTTAAAACCAACATGGTCTACGATAGAGAGGGGATATTCATACAAAATTATGGCATGTGACAACTCTTTCCTAGCAAAATCTTGATAAAAAATAGAAGAATTTATTTTTGGACTCTCTCTATTAAAGTTGTTAGTTAAAACTTTTTGCCTCATGTCCATCACTTTTTTCGTAGTACAACTCT